AAAACTCAAACAAAGTTAAACGTCTACTATTAATAACTTGTTTATATATATGAAAGTATTTGTGTTAACTTACATTATTTATTGTCGCATATGGTATTAAGTCTTCCCAATCCAACAGATTTTCCTCTTCCAGGAAATAGCCTTGGGAATATCATTTGACGTTTTTATTGCATATGTACGCATGCTGGGGAAAGCCTCGAATATCCAAATCTACAAACAATATAATAACAAATTAGTAATTGTTAAATAATTAATTATAATTTTAGAAACATTATATAGAAATTCTTACCTTAAAGGCCCAAACAAAGCCTGACAAAGTGTATTTCGACCCATCGCCACGCAAACTTTTGCGGCCATCAAAGGCAGTAGACAACTTAGTCCAGGTAGCTTTCCATATATACGAACCCCACGGAAACAGATTCCATGCATTCAGGTCCTCTACCAATATTATTAGCTCCCGAGGAATAGGTTGTCTGGCCTCTCTGCCTAAAAAGCCGGCATACAAAAGTAGTAGAAGGCATACTCGGACAACATCGACGTCATCCATCCGAGTGAAACCATCTTTCTTATTAAACAATTTCTTCAGGTCGTCGACGTGTAGGTTCAGCTTCTCCATTGACTCATCCGGAAAAACCCGGGATAACCATGATGGGCGGGCGATATGACGAGTGTACCGGCCTACATCATCGTGTCCGAATCGTAGACCAGTGATTAAGCAGAACTCATTCCGCCCAAAACAAGTATACGCTGGTGGAAAATGAAACCATATCTCTTCCTCACCACGTTGTATACTGTCGGGTAGATTTGATGTCATGGTCTGAAGCCACAAATGGGTCAAATTAGCATCTCCACCCGAATGTTGTACTCTCAGCCATGGCCCGAAGCAGGTTTCCTCAAACAATTGTCTTTGTGCAGGTGAAAGCTTCGAAGCAATTGTAATGGCTAGGATAACTTTATTCCTTAATGTCAATGAAGCCGAAAAAAATTTCTACAAAACAATAAACATACCAAGTTAGATATACCAAAAACTACACTGTGAAGATATACCAAAAACAATAAACATAAAAAGTAGTAGTTTATTCTTGAAACTAAAATTTGCAACACTGTTTTGTCTTTGGTTGAAATGAAAATCGCAACGAGAGAATGACTATCGCAACGAGAGAAATGAAAATCGCAACGAGAGAATCGCAACGCGAAATGAAAATCGTAACGCGAAATGAAAATCGCAATGCGATTTTGGTTTCGCATTGCGATTCTCTCGTTGCGATTTTCATTTCGCGTTGCGATTCTCTCGTTGCGATTTTCATTTTTCTCGTTGCAGATAGTCATTTTCGCGTTGCGATTTTCATTTCTCTCGTTGCGACTCTTCTGCAAATTGAAACTTGAATGGATTGCATTACTTCAACCAAAAGACAGAACAAAGACAAAGACAAATACTAACTTGAAAATCGCAACGAGAGAATAGCAACGCGAAATGAAAATCGCAACGAGAGAATCGCAACGCGAAATGAAATCTAAGTGAAATGGTTAATCTATTATTGAAATGACCAGTAAACTTATCATCAGTTTCATTATGAAAAACCTACAATAATGCAAAAATTTCAAAATAAAAATAATTAAAAAAACTAACCCTCGGAGGTTGATTTTCCATTTCTGAATATTGTGAGGGATTTTTGACCGTGAATGGTTGTGAGGGATTTCGCCGGAGATGGGGACGGAAATCTTCGGAGATGGGGACGGATTTCGCCGTAGAGATGGAGATGAGACTGAGTTGTGATTTTAGGTTTTAGGTTATGAGTTGCGATTACGGGATTTTGTCTTAATATTCGTTTTTGTAATTTGAAAATAAAATACGCGTAGCGATTATAATGGTGCTTTAAAAATCGCGTTGCGATTTACGGATACGCGTTGCGATTTTACGCATTGTCGTTGCGATTTACGGATACGCATTGCGATTTACGGATACGCATTGCGATTTACGGATACGCGTTGCGATTTACGGATACACGTTGCGGTTTACGGATACGCGTTGTGATTTATGTGTTCGCGTTGCGATTTTCATATTCGCGTTGCGATTCTGGAAAATCGCAATGCGAATTTGTACTATCGCATTGCGATTTTCAAGAATCGCGTTGCGATTTTGGAAACTGATTTGCGATTCTGGGGATCGCGTTGCGATTTTTATTTCGCGTTGCGATTTTGTTGGTCATTTTGGCAAATCCAAAAAAAGTTGGTTAAAATCGTATATTATAAGGCATTTTTGGTCACTGAGGCGATTTTCTCATAAAATAAAGAGGCAATGTTTGATACAATTAGTTATAAAATAAACGGTAATAAATCTATTTCCTAAACTAAAAAAGAAATCAATATTAATTTTAGGGTACCAGTGACCACTTAACTATTATCTATTTTTATTTAGACTGTCATTTTTGAATTTTTATCAATCATATCATTCAACTATTTAAATGTATTAAAGAAAACCACTTACCGTTAATATTTAATAGAAGTATTGATGTGGCAGTTAATAAAATTGATATAATTAGACATTTAATCCTTATTACTTACACATTCTATCAAATTAGTCATAATTTTAAATTAATTCAATATATTTAATCTTCTAATCATATGATGACTTATATCATAATATGATTAGAAGACATTTACTTAATTCAATTTAATATTTTTCCAATCAAATGGTGATGTGTGTCACCATCTGATTTAGGAATACAAACTAAAAGTAAATGTAGTGGCCGATGAGGGTCAAATTTGAGTCTCCAAGAAGGGTGGAGCACGCTTGTACCACTGAACCAACTCTCATACTTGGTACATGTTTTACAACATATTGTATCTATGTTGTATTGCAACGAAAAGAGTAAAAGAAGTCAAATTTTGGTTTATATTTTCTTTTTTCTTTTTTCTTTCTTTTTGCAACAAAAGACAACACCAGTTAATTATCCAGACTACTAATATAATTTTTCTGCAGCTCCGACATCACCCAGGAAGACGGTTCCGAGAACCGGACAACATCATAGGTCGTTCTATTTGCTAACTTTGTCATACCATTGACCACCGTATTTTCGTTCCGTTGAACATATTGAATCTGAACAATCCTAGCTCGCTGAAGCAACTCATCAATGTACTTCTCCTTTTGAATTGCATGTATGGCCTTCAAGCTATCAACCTCTAGAATAATTTGTCTTTCCCCCAGCTCCCAAGAATATACCAACCCCAAATACATCCCCCAAATCTCAGCTTCCACAACATAACAAATGTCAATGAATTTCGTAAAACCTAGTCGCCACTCCCCAAAATCATTTCGGATGATCCCGTCACAAGTGTCACGGACCAAAGCCCACCACCGAGGTTAGCCCATGAGAAGTAGCCTAAATGGGGGTTTGGACCTTCTAGAAGCCACAAAGACTTAGGTGGCATTTAAATTTGTATAGATAATGCCCCCTTATTTTTTGTAGGTAAAGATTAATCTCGGCCGTCGATGTAATTAAATCTTAGCCGTTCATTGAGGGGAGCTTTAGCTATAAATAGAGGCCTCCCCTCCTCATTTGTACTCACTCCTTCATTTTGAGAAATCATAAGAGCATTCTTCTCTCAAAGCTTTCTTATCTTCCTTCTTGTGCTAGTTCTCTTGTCTAGCTTCCGTCGAGGTTCTAAGCATCCTTGCTTGGGATATTTTCAGGCTTACTTAGCCGCAATCACTAATAAGGCGACTAAGGCCGCACGTTCCGAGGCGTCGAAGTTCCAAGGGCGTGACAAGTGGTATCAGAGCTAGTTCTACGAGAAATGGCACAGCACAACCAAGACGAGAACCCAGCAAGCGAAGTGACTCGTGTTATCGTACCGAAGAAGCGAGCAAACTCGAAAGATATGGTGACCTCGTTCGAGTAAAGGGTCGATAGGTTAGAAGACCGATATAATGAAGTCCAAGAGACTCAAGACTCAGTTGAATCTCGCTTGGAGAAGGTGGAGTCCGTAGAGGATGTACTCCGTGAAGAAACCCAAGCACTTATCAGCGAGTTGACGGAGAACGTAGACGAGCGTACCAGAGGCCTCGAGAGCATGTACTTAGCCATGAGGGTCGAAATAATGCAGGAGGTAAAGGAGCTCAAGAGCGAGCTGCTCGTCTACAAGGCTGCCGTGTTGAATGGAGTGACTGGAGAGGCACAAACACCAAGACCCAGGATCGACGTCCCTAAGCCGAAGGAGTACAAGGGGAGTCGAAATGCTCAAGATGTGGAGAATTTCATTTGGGGCATGGAGAAATTATTCCGTGGCATGAGTATCGAGGATGATACCACCAATGTAAATGTTGCTTCCAATTATCTTAATGATGTTGCTATGTTATGGTGGCGTCGTAGGTGTTCCGAAAGTACGAATCCAATCGGAACGTGGGAAGAGTTCGTGGGAGAACTCAAGGAACATTTCTATCCGAAAAATGCTGTGCTCGAAGCTCGATCAAAACTAAAGCAATTGAGGCACGATCGTTCCATCTTGGAATATGTCAAAAACTTCACGGAGATCAAGATGCAAATCCCGGACTTGGGCGAGTCAGAAGGGTACTTTGCATTCATGGATGGATTATAACGTTGGGCCAACATGGAGATCCAAAGGAGGGGAGTGACCGAACTCTCCAAGGCGTTAGATGCAGCCGAGGCCATCGCCCCGTTTGAAGTAAAGAATACCGACTCTCTCCAATCCAAGTTGAAACCCAAAGGTAATAGTGGGGGAGAGAAGGCCAAAGGCAACTTTCATAAGCCAACGGGAAGTCATGGGAAGCCGAATGATCGACCCAAAAAGCTCTTCAATCCTTGGGAGAAGAAGGGGGAATTATCGTGCTTCAGTTGTGGAGGAAATCATATGAAAAGAGATTGTCCTCAACTTGTAAAAGTTGCTGCCATCAAGGAGAACGATGGGATGGAGAGTGAGACTCTCAAGCTTGGCTCCATCCTTAGCACCATAGAGGTCAAGAAGGGTCGCAAGAAGAAATGATTGATGTACGTAGACATCACCTTCGCAGGCCAAAAGATGAGCGCACAGGTGCCTCAGAATTATTCATGTCCGAACAAATTGCCAAGAGACTTGGCCTTCATATGGAGAAGGCAACGGGATCCATCAAAACCGTGAATGCCGAAGAAGTTCCAATTCTCAAGGGGGTGCGTAAAGAAGAACCCACCTTTGTGGCTTCATTGGTGGAAATTGAACCCACAATGACCGAAGAAGTCCCAACTGAAGTGGGACAAGTATTGGCGGAGTTTAGAGATGTAATGCCAACTGAGCTACCGAAGAATTTACCATCGAAGAGAGAGGTGGACCACAAGATCGAGCTTGTCCCAAATGCGGAGCCACTCGCCAAAACATCATATCGAATGGCTCCACCGGAGTTAGAGGAGCTTCGCAGACAATTGAAAGAGCTCCTAGATGCTGGATACATCCGACCATCAAAGTCACCCTTTGGTGCACCGGTGTTATTCTAAAGGAAGCATGACGGTTCACTCAGAATGTGCATCGACTATCAAGCTTTGAATAAGCTCACCGTAAAGAACAAGTACCCGATCCCATTGATTGCCGACTTGTTCGATCAACTTGGTGGTGCAAGGTGGTTCACCAAGTTAGATTTACGGTCCGGATACTACCAAGTTCGGATAGCAGAATGCGATGAACCAAAGACTGCTTGCGTGACACGCTACGGTTCATATGAGTTCCTTGTGATGCCCTTCAGTCTCACTAATGCCCCTGCAACCTTTTGCACGTTAATGAACAAGGTACTACAACCCTTTCTTGATCGTTTTGTTGTAGTTTACCTTGATGACATCGTTGTGTATAGTAAGACCTTGGAAGAACACATTGAACACTTGAGAAGGGTGTTCCAAGTCTTACGAGAGAACGAGCTTTATGTCAAGGAGGAAAAATGCTCGTTTGCGCAAAAGGAAGTGCCGTTCCTTGGCCATATTGTTGGAGGAGGCAAGCTCCAGATGGACAAAGACAAGATTCGAGCTATTGACGATGGAAGCCACCCACCAAGGTGACCGAATTGCGAGCATTCTTGGGATTAGCCAACTATTACCGACAATTTGTGAAGGGCTATTCCAAGATTGCCACACCTTTGACCGAGTTGCTCAAGAAGGATAAGGTGTGGGAATGGAGCACGAAATGCCAAGACACATTCGAAAAGATCAAGGAGGCCATGGTGAGTGAGCCCGTGTTGGTGCTACCAGATTACACCAAACCTTTCGTAGTTTTCACCGATGCGTCTGATGTTGCCATTGGTGGAGTCATCATGCAAGAGGGGCATTCGGTTGCATACGAGAGCCGGAAGCTCAATGAGACCGAGCGGAGGTACTCGGTTCATGAGAAGGAGATGACAACAGTTGTACACTGCTTGCGGATATGGCGACACTACTTGCTTGGGTCCAAATTCGTGGTGTTCACGGACAATATTGCCAATAGTTACTTCCTCACCCAGAAGAAGCTTTCTCCCAAGCAAGCTCGTTGGTAAGAGTTTCTTGCCGATTTCGACTTTTCCTTGGAGTACAAGCCGGGGAAGGTGAATTGTGTAGCAGATGGCTTAAGCTGGAGGTATGCCATCGAAACTGTGGAAGGTACTCTCCTCGAGAGGATCAAAGAAGGATTACCCCATGATCCTGTGGCCGAACGAATCATTGAGTGAGCCAAGGAGGGGCGAACCCTGGAGTTTTGGCTCGAAAGAGAGTTACTTTACCACCGAGTCCATCGTCTCTTTGTGCCCCGATATGGGAAGTTACACAAGGAGCTCATGAAGGAATGCCATGATTCCAAGTGGGCGGGACATCTGGGAGTTGATCGAACATTGGAATTACTCTCGGAGTAATACTATTGGCTGCACATGGCTGAAGATGTGCAGGCCTGTATGAAGACTTGTCTTTTATGCCAACAAGACAAAATCGAGGCAAAGAAACCGACGGGAGTGCTACAACCGTTGCCCATTCTTGAGCGCCCATGGGAGAGTATTTCCATGGATTTTATAATTGGTTTGCCCAAAACTGATGGACTTTCAAGTATCATGGTTGTGGTTGATAGGTTTTCGAAGTACGCGACATTCATACCCGCGTCTAAGGTGTGTCCAGCTGTAGAGGCCGCTCAACTTTTCCTTAAGCACGTGGTGAAGTATTGGGGAATGCCGAAAACCATCATTAGTGACCAGGACACGCGGTTCACCGGGAGGTTCTGGACGGAGTTGTTCAAACTGATGGGATCGAGCTTAAACTTTTTCACCACAGTTCATCCACAAACCGATGGGTAAACTGAGCGAGTGAATGCTCTGTTAGAGATCTATCTGAGGCACTATGTGAGTGCCAACCAACGAGACTGGCCAAAGCTGTTGGATGTGGCCCAATTTTCCTACAACTTGCAACGGAGCGAGAACCAAAGCCTGTTCGAGATCGTGACCGGGCAACAACCGTTGACACCCAACACAGTTGTTACCTGAAGGGCCCAATCCATCAGCACACAATGTTGCCAAGGAGTGGCACGAGCAACACGACTTAGCCCGAGCTTGTTTGCACAAGGCGGGAAAGCGAACCAAGATGTGGGCAGACTGAAAACGAAGGGACGTGAACTTTGAAGTTGGCGACCTTGTCCTTGCAAAGTTGGCCAATGTTTTGCGCCATGCGGATGTGCACAAGGGACTTGTGCGAAGATACGAGGGTCCGTTCCGAATCGTGAAGCGGGTAGGCACCATGGCCTACAAATTGGAGTTGCCTCCAACTATCCGAGTGTATCCCGTTATCCATGTTAGCCTGCTCAAGCCGTACTATCAGGATACCGAGGATCCAGATCGAGGCAAGTCGCACCGAGCGCCAGTCGAAGTAGCAGTCTCATATGACAAAGAGATACAAGACATACAAGCGGAGAGGGTTTTCGACGGTCAGGACACCGCCCAAGGCATGAGTACTTTGTCCTGTGGAAGGGGCAACCTGAGTGCGAAGGGAGTTGGGAACATGCCGAGGGACTTTGGCAATTAAAAAATAGAATAGACCAATATCATGCCAAACGAGTGATGAGGGCGTCACCGGAACCAGTGGGGGAGAATGTCACGGACCAAAGCCCACCACCGAGGTTAGCCCATGAGAAGTAGCCCAAATGGGGGTTTAGACCTTCTAGAAGCCACAAAGACTTAGGTGGCATTTAAATTTGTATAGATAATGCCCCCTTGTTTTTGGTAGGTAAAGATTAATCTCGACCGTTGATGTAATTAAATCTTAGCCGTTCATTGAGGGGAGCTTTAGCTATAAATAGAGGCCTCTCCTCCTCATTTGTACTCACTCCTTCACTTTGAGAAATCATAAGAGCATTCTTCTCTCAAAGCTTTCTTATCTTCCTTCTTGTGCTAGTTCTCTTGTCTAGCTTCCGTCGAGGTTCTAAGCATCCTTGCTTGGGATATTTTCAGGCTTACTTAGCCACAATCACTAAGAAGGCGACTAAGGCCGCACGTTCCGAGGTGTTGAAGTTCCATGGGGGTGACACAAGCAACGAGCCCCGAAGTCTTATCCCGAGCCCCGTCGGAGTTCACTTTCAACCACCCAGCTGGTGGCCACTACCAACAACCTATCTCAACAGTGTTGTTCCAATGGATTTCCTTTCAATCTAAGCATTTCATGAGCCCTGCACGTTCTCTCTGCAAGGTACATACTCCTTTCAAGCATAGTTTACGCATCCTCAAGAGGAGAATTGTCGAGTTTTGCTGCAACCAAATATTTCATACGATAGATCCAAAAAGTATATATCCCAATTCTCAGATTGTTCAGCGATTCCTCCATCCGGACCAATATTCATGCCAATCCAATCCTTAACATTCATTCGAAGAAAGTCCAATAATATACCATGTCGCACCACACTCATCCAAACTGAGAGAGCTGACGGGTATGAGCGAAGCATATGATCAAGGTCTTTCACCGCTGCTAAACAAATAGGACGACTACCATCCATCGTAAAATGGTGTCGCACGTGCACAACACTTGTCATCACTTCGCCACAACAAATAAGCCATAAAAACATTTTCACATTTGGAATACTTAGAAATTTATTGATAACCGACCAGATTCGTTCTCCATTTCACGCAGTCCCACCAACCCGAGAAAAGTAAGCCGACTTCACTGCGAATCTCCTATCGTCTCGTAAGTTCAAGCCCACCTCGACATCAGCCCCTTCTTTCCTGCAATTTTTAGAAGAATGTTAACTGGTAAAAGTTGCTCAAACAATGCCCAACGTCAGTTCCCCAACGCATCAACCATATCGACAACTGTTATGTGTTGCATGCCTATAGCACCAGCAGTCAAAACATGATTAATCAATGGGTCACAATCGCCGAGCCATGCATCAAACCTAAAGTCGACCTTATGACCATTACCGATGCACCACGCTACATGTTTCTGAACATCTGACCAGATCCAAGCTAGTCCTTTCCATAATTTAGAACAAATAGACTCCTGGAGGTTCTCTGGCATAACATCTTTGCATTCTTATTTCGCTCACAAACACTTCAACCATAAGTGATCTCATTTAGCCAAAGTATTGAAAGCAATATTCATTAAAAGAGCCTCATTTGATGTTTAAGTTTTCGAAAACCAAGACCACTGCAGTTCAATGTGTCTTTCTATTTCATCACAAATACACCTTGGGATCACTACTGATTGCATAGTATAAATTGGAGGAGTTGCTAACACGGATTTTACAAGTGTAACTTGTCTAGAAAATGATAATGCCCATAATTTCCACCCATTTAGCCTGTCCCGCACCATCTGAACTAGGTACTGATAAGAAGCAGTATTTACTCTCCCATGCAACAACGAAACCCCGAGATATTTCCCCAAGTCTCAAGCGATAGTTTATTGGAATTCCGTACTAATTTGCACATATAACTCGTGTTCTACATTCTTAGAAAAATGTATTTTGGTTTTGGCCACACTCACCTTCTGCCCATAAGTAGTACCAAACTTTGATAACATCAAACGGATAGTCTCTCCTTGAGCACTAGAAGCTTCAACGAAGAGAATCATATCATCCGTAAACAATAGATGAGAAATTCTCGGTCCTGACTAGGATGTCTTGAAAAGCTTCCGACAGCCCGTATTGACTTCACTTTGTATGACATGTGCCAACCGCTTCATACATAGCACGAAAAGGTAGGGCGACAAAGGAACACCCTGCCTAATCCCCGGGATGGTGTAAATGTTTCAGTCATTTCCCTAGTTCAAAAAATATGAGTGCAAACCGATGAAACACAACGCATGATAAGACATGATAAGACGTATCAAATTTTCTGGTAACCCCAAATCAGATAATGACACAGTTAGCCTATCCAACTTATCCTGTGATACACAAGGGAAGAGACCCCGAGTATATTCCACAATGGCCCGCTCTTCACTTTGGAAAAGTTTATTATAGAAATATATTGCCAACTTTTGAAGTGCATCCACCTCAGTACACCAAGCCCCGA